GTGCGTTTAAAACTGTTCAAAGCCTGAAACCTCTGATGTTTTTTACCTTTATTTCAGAGCCCCGCCGACAGCGAGCTGCACAAACCGCTGCTGGAGGACGTCTGAAGTCCAGAAATCGCTTCTGTCTGCATGAACTCTGCAGCATTTCCCCGTCTGACTCATTCAGAAAGCATTTATCCACACACAAACAACCCCCAACCAAGTGCTTTTAGCCCTGTGTATATTTATCTTTGATGTATGTAAAAGTAAATAAAGGCCTGAAATCTGTGTGGTGCGCCACGTTTAGTAATTTTCTTTGTGTTTTCTGTGTGTGTGTTTGTTATGTGAAACTCTGTTTGTTTATCTTCCTTAATTTTTGAGGTTTTGAGTGAATGACCCCAAAAAGTGTCAATCAACTTAATTTAATTGATTAAAAAAAAGCACCAAATCATGGCAAATTTCCTCCCAAATCCAGGTAATTCAATTCTAGTTCCTGGTTGACTTTTGAAAATTAGTATTTCAGTTTGATGAATAAAAATGAGGGAAATTCAGTTAAAGCTGAACTGAACGTATCGCTTTAAACTGATTTAAAAAACACCTTTGACCTGAGTCTCAGTTTTAAAAAGACAGTTTTTTTATCAGCTAAAAATAAAAATAGTAGTAAAAACGAAGGCAGTGCGTTGCGTAAATGTACGCAGTTTACGCAGCGGCCCCGGTATTTACGCAGCGTACGCAGCGCGTAAGTCCCGGTTTGGAGCTTTAGCGTGCGGAGTGTTACGTCTATTCCCCTCCGGGCGGAGGGAGGAGGTTCTTCTGGGAAGAGGCCGGTGGTTCCGGGTTCTGTTGCCGTTGATCTGCGCAACAGACCCGCAGTCTGCCTCCGGCTGGGTCTGAGTTCAGACGCTTTCGTTACGCCAGAAACAGGAAAAACAGCACGGTGAGTCTGGGACCCGGATTTGGGTTTATTTCGGACTTTTTTGTCTGCTTCTACCAGCAAAACAAACTTTCCGATCAGTTTTGGGGGGTAAAATGACACCCCCAATGGTTTATTGACTAAAATCCGCAGACGTGGTTTATTTATTTATTTGTTTCGCCATATTTTTTATATAATTCTCAATTAATCGCGTTTGTTCGTTGTTTTATTAACGTAAAAGGCTACGAACTTCTTCTCGTTATTGTCGAATCCCGTTTCTAATGTGAAATAAAACACATTTCTAGATAACTTTTAATAGCCAGTGTCGGTTATGGGGAGTTTTCTAAAAAAAAAAAACTAAAAAAAACAAACATCTGTTTTATGGATGTGACGTAATTTCCTTGATTTCTCACGCAGCCATTTCGGGTGTTTGTTCTGTCCTTAAGTGACCTAGAGGGAACAGAAGATTTTACATCCTCTGTTCCCTTCAGGTGACTCTGGAGAGTTTGTTTACGAGGGAGAAAATGAGCCAAAGTGTGTGGAGATGAGTTAGTTTCTGTTCAAGAGGGATTGTTTCAGCCTGTTTGTCCCTAAAATAATCTGCCCCCACTTTATTTTGAATATATCCTCATATCCCATATCCTCATATCTCTGTCTTTTATCTAGAAATGTGTTTTATTTCACATCACAAACTTGGGATACAACAATAACGACAACAAATGTCAGGAATTTTTTAGTTAAACATGTAATAAAACAGTGAATAAACCCGATTAAAGAAGGAAAAGAATATGAACAAATATGGTTGTTATGGTGCAAAACAAACCGAAAACATGTTTGCAGTTTTTAGCTGGAACTGCAGCTCAAAACCATAAAGAAAACAAACAAAACAATTCGATATTTTACACACAAACCGAACAGAATCCAGCAGAAAAGAATCAAGAAATCCTGCAAACGCTGCGATTCTGAAGTTAGTTTCTGATGTTTTGACCGTTTTTCTGAGTGGATCTGGAGCATGGAAACGTGTGGTCTTTTTTTTTGCTAATTATTTAATCAAAAAGTCGAAATTTTAGAGATTAAAAATGTTATTTAAAGCCCTCAAACCCTCATTGGGAAAGTCCAGCTTTACATTACAGGCCTGAAACAGTCTGGAAAAAAAGGGGATTTTTTGGGCTGCTGGTGCTCTTTATTTGTCGACAGATATTTGAGCTGTTATTAAAAAAAACACACTATCTATCTATCTATCTATCTATCTATCTATCTATCTATCTATCTATCTATCTATCTATCTATCTA